ATCATGTCTTTGCACATATATCATCCATGTATATTATTTTATCATGCATACCATTAGATATTCAAATATTAATCACGTATAATTTTACCTAAACCCAGATTGTCTGAAACCGGGTTATAACAAAACCTTTCCTTCGGGGTTTTCAAAACCAAGGAAAATCCATATAAACTTCCTCATTGAGTTCACCATTTCCATTTGCATTGGAGGCCAATCGAGGTTAGCTGCCAAGGAGAGTAAAACTCTAACGGTATCGAGTTTTGCAACAAGGGCAAAAGGTCTCTTAATAGTCAATATCAAGTGCTTGAGTGTAGCCTGTAGCTACAAGTCTTGCCTTGTACCTGTTTATGCTGTCATCACTGTTGTACTTGATGGTGAAAAACCATTTGCATCCCACAGTCTTCTTCCCTGTTGGAAGGTCACTTAGTTCTCATGTTCCATTATTCTCTAAGGTAGTTAGTTCTTCCAAGACTGCACTCTTCTATTTAAAGGATTGAAGAGTACAGATGAGTGAGCAATGCCCTATGTGTAGTAAACAACTTCTCATAGGACATTAAATTGGAAATGGACACAAAAAAGGTACATGATCGGACCCCCGTTCGAAGTGCAATTGGGAGGTATTCATGACTTGTGGTGTCCGAGACAACAACTGATGGTTGTTCATTTCCAGAACAATTTCCATGGCAATCCAAAGTCGTTGATTTATTCATTCTGGTAGAGCGATGTCTCCTCGAATAAACAAATAAATCAGGTCCATCTCTCTTTCGAAGACTCTATTTTGTTGGGGTGCGTCCAGACATGAGCTTTGGTGAATAATGCCATGTCAGAGAGATAGGATCCTAGAGTGGAATTGAAGCATTCCCTACCATTGTCGGTGCGAAGCGTGTGGATTGTTGTTTGGAAGTGATTTTGAATTATGGTGTGAAAGCTTTGGAAGGTTTTCGGGGCTTCTGATTTGTCTGTAAGGAGATAAACCCAACATAGGCGTGTATGGTCATCGATGAACATGATAAACCATTTTGATCCAGAAACATTTTTCATACGGCTGGTTCCCATATATCATTGTAAATTAATGAAAATGGTTGAGAGGTAGTATAAGGTTTTAGCGAATAAGGAATACGAGTATATTTTGATAACTGACAAATTTCAGCCGCAGGTTCCCCTACGGCTACCTTGTTATTCACACATAAAAGAACCAACATCTTTATTTCGAAATAGTTATGGAAACAAATGTTTAAGGTACTGAAAGTTTGGGGTGCCCTAGTCTATGATGCCACATCATGATTGTGTCATTACTGGGAGGTGAAACTGCAGAGCTTGAATATGCTTGTTTATTCTTAGATTCATTGCTTTCTATATAGAGTCCATTTTCGACTTTAGCATTGTCAATCGTCATCCCCGATCCTTGTTTCTGTACAAGGCAATCAGTGGAAGAGAATACAGCCAGGTATTGGTTATCTTGAGTAAGCTTGTCAATAGATAGGAGATTGCAAGTCAACTTTGGAATATGAAGAACTTTAGTGAGTGTGATTTGATCTGTGAGACGAACTGAGCCCATGCTTGCAGCCAGGGAGAAGGATCCATTGGTGATCCTTACCCTGGATTGTGTGGCGTATGAAAAGAGAGGAGTTGTTGGTCATGTGATCGGAGGCCTCTGAGTCGAAGATCCAATGGGTATTACCACTTGATTTAGAAAGGACATTAAAGGCATTACATTGGATAGGTTTGCTGAGGAGTTGGTGCAGAGTCTCTAACTGGCTATGTTCAACTAGACATTCATTACCACATCTGAGGTAGGTAGTTCAACTAGACATTCATTACCACATCTGAGATAGGTAGTTCCTCTGGTACAAGAGAAGATGATGATGTATGGTGCGCCCTAGCTGTGATGTGATTCTTGATTGCCCATAGATGTCCATGAATCTTGTAACACTTGTCACGTGTGTGGCCTGTTCTGTTGCAGTGAGTACACCATACACGATCTCTTTGCTTGTTCTGCCGTGAGTCTCCTCTTTCTCGAGGCTTAAAGATGGGTGGTCATTTTGAGACAAGTGCACCTCATCTAAATCACGATTTAAACCTGCTAGGAAATCATAGTCTTTCTTTCTCCAGGTGCACCTTGAATTTGACAGGTCCTTCGACTTCGCCCCAATCAGCTTCATAGAACATATCCATTTCCTGCCATAAGACTTTCAAACAGTCATAGTAGTTAGTTACTTGCGATGTACCTTGACGAATCTCTTTCAACTTCATCTTGATCTCAAACAGTTTGGCGGCATTTCCCTAGTCAGAGTACTTTTTAAAATTTTAAACAATAGATGGGTACAACTGATGTTGCTTTTCCATAGACTTGATGAGCCATGCCATCACAATTGAGTTGTCGAGTTCCTACCCATCATACCTTATCAGTAGAACTATGGCGAGGATGCTACCATTAAGGTACCACAGTTTGCCTCTTCCTCGGATAACCATTAGAACTGGCTGAGACCACTTAAGAAAATTCTTTCCATCGAGTTTGTGACTTGGTAGTCACCAAATGAGAGTTATCACTGTAGGTTGGAGTCTGTGAATTGGTAGAAGATTCGAAACCACAAATATGAAATTTTACTCCTTAAAGAGACATCTGATGGTTTTTGGATTCTAAATATTACTTTAGATTAAGGATGTACAACACAAGAGTCGATCCAACTTGATTTGTGATGCGACATTCTTCAAATTGCTTCTTAAGGGTTATGTATAAGAATAAGAAAGTGACATATTTTGAGGTATTCTTGTGCATGTTAGAGAGTCATTCTTTTAATTCATGTAATCACTACACATGCACGAAATCCAGCACAAAGTTCGATGAAAAGAAACGGAGGCCCGTAGATCCTTTGCCAATCCAGAAGATATGACTCCGCTGTGGTGGCTCTGTAAAGCTGATCCAGAAAAAGAAACAAGAATGCATATGAGATTGTATTGCAGTATCAAGTCAAACAAAATATGACTTCTTTGGTAGATATGTTTATGAGTTTGTCTCATTAACAAAGTTGATTTCACTCAATTTGATCAGCTAGCTTATTTTGAGCTGATTGGAAAAGCACCCTGTGGATAGTCACAAGCTAGTTTTTTGAAAAACTACTTTAGCTGAAGTTTTCAATAAACTTTTAGAGATTTTTTTTCCCATTATGCCCAGTATTTTGCCAATTATATCAATTTACATTATCATCTATCTTATCAGCTTGTTTTTACAGGTCATTTCCTTACTGTTTTAATTAAATTCATGACCTCCTGGCCTATTAAAGAAAAAATGGACTTATACTCATGAGAAGGCCATGGATTTAATTAAGATCTCATTTAAGGTTATATTACCTAAAAACCTCTTATTGTTTTTACAAAACTTAACCAACTTACTAGCTTATTAGCTAACAACTAGCTTTCAGCTAACAAACAGCTAGCTTCTCCGCTAGTGCCAAACATATCCATGATCAAATTGAATTTGCTGGTAGTTCGTACCTGAATTTCAAACTTGACAGCATCATAAGAACTAAAACTTCCCTTGTTTGAGCTCTTCATTGGTACATCTGTATCTTCTGTTAAACTAATTCTATGGATTGCCATAGGCATGGAATAGCTTTCAACTGCTGGTTTCCAAATACATTTCATGTTGTAGGGCCCTATCTTCTTCCATTGTACATTTAAGCTCTTGAAGACAGTTAAAACATCTCCCATAGTTTCATGTGGCGATGCACGAGACTGCATTAATATAACAAACAATAAAGATTAAAACTTAGTTAAAATTCAAAGTACAACAAGGCATAAAAACCAGAATCACCTTGAATCCAAGTACCCACTTGCCTTGAACAGGAGAAATTGGTCTTACGTAAATATCTCGACGTTCCATGCATTCTGGTGGCTAAAAAATCGAAAATATGATAATGAGCTACACATAAATAGGACTATTTTGCTTGATAATCTTACATAAGATTTTTAATAAAAGCATAACCTTCTCACAAGTTTAGTGGAATTTTTGTATATGGAAGTGGCATTCTTGTATATGAAGGTGCCCCTTTGACTCTCTCTCTCTCTCTATCTAAAAGAGCTCTTATATAAGATAGGAAAGTTTCAACATATAGCGGAAAATAAAGGCTAGGCCTTGGGATTCCTCCCATAGGTCGCTACTTAGAGTCTCCTCAGGCTGTTCTCTTCAGGGTCCCATGAAATTAGTTGAGATGGACACAAGTTGTCCCGGACAATGACGGTTTACAAAAAAAGGTTCCAACATATATATATATATTAGGTTTTGATGGTCTGCGTGTAGCAAACCAATGTGGGACCCATGCCAAAATACTTAAATTATCTGATGAGTGGATGGATTACAACAAAAGCATAGACCTAGAAGGAAGACTCCAGATTAGCACAATACCAAAGCCATCTATTCATAAATGAATAACTTCATCTATTTACTTGGCTCTACAGGATAAGCAATGTCATTGTGTACAAACCATGCAGCATATTCACATATCTAGACTTTTTAGAATCTCAAAACAAAAATAAAACTTGTAATTCATAATTGCATAAGAATAATTCAAGTTACCAAAGATCCTAGAAGATAGTCGTTGTGGTAACTATGGTTACTCAAGTGCTTATGCAATAGTATAGAATATGTAACTGTTGCCTGAAAAGAAGATAAAAGAGGGTCATTCTTACAGTTTTTGTACTGGAATCAACAGTTGAGACAGTTTTAGCACCTGATTATGCAGCAAGTTATTCAAAGATCCAATCACTTCTTGAACATCAAAGCCTATGATACCCATCTCTTCTAGAACTTGAACATCAACCTTGCCATGTGGATAGACATTATTAGATTTGAAATAACTGTAAAAAGGGTCCCAGATCATGGGGGAGGATAATTGCACTGTCCCAGAGTCAGGTAGATGGTGCTCGGATTCAAACCCGTGACGAACACAACATTGTTGAACTGATTATTAGATTAGAAATGTGATAGGAGTCCTTACTTACGAAATTTAATAGTAGAGTAACATTTGTTTTGGCAGTCATAAAGTTATTCAGTAAATAAAACATGAATATATAAAATTAAACATTTCATCCAGATCCAGATAAAGTTACTTGATTTTAGTGAGCCTGCAATAACTAACGGAATTTTAAAAGAAAAGAGATTAATATTTGCAGTTGATTAAAAGTTCCACGGCAAGTCGGCAACAGCTAATTAGGCATTAGGCATGAAAGGCTTGCTGACATTTTTGTCAAAAAAAGTAGTCATTCAAATAACAAAATAAAAGATATAACTGAAAAGGAATGCCAGCCACACATGACACATTAGAATATCATGTTTTTATTCATTAATTCATCTATTTTTTCTGTATAATTATTGTCTGTTAATAGTGTTGTGAACTGTGGAGTGATCATGATGCTCAAGCAATCCGATGTGGTAATTCTACTTTGATAAATTTAATACCTTTCTTGCACTCCATGAAGCATTGATTGAGCAGCCTGCAATGTATTGTGGAAGATGTTTTTGGAACCATGCATGCTTGTAGATTTCAGGAATAGATATACGGTTAACTGGATCAACAAGAAGCATCCGTGTAATCAAGTCACGTGCCCCAATAGATAAGTAATTTGGGTATGTGTATATTCCACTCTGATACCAAATAATATCCATGTCAGAATCGGCTTCACCTGAGAACTCAAAATACAACTCTACCTTACAAACCTTTATCTTTGCATATAAGCCAGAAAGACTTTCATCATCAAAAGGAAGACTTCCACATAGAAGAGCATATAAAACAACCCCACAACTCCAAACATCAACTTCAGGACCAGCATAAAGACTTCCTGAGATAACCTACATTATAGTTGATTGTTTTCCTTTTAGAGCACTAAGATGTATAAGATAATAAAAGCAAATGAACCCAATAAATCCCACAGGTTCTGTGGAGGTAGGGTGTACGCCAACCTCAACTCCATCCCAAGGAGTAGAGAGGCTATTTCCGTGAAGGCTTGTGAAAAGGTTTTGAGAAAATGATTTTTGGGAAAAATAAAATGTTATGAAAAGATGTATAAGATAATGAATATAGATAACTCACGCACCTCTGGAGAAGCATAATTTGGGCTTCCACAGCTTGTTTTTAGAAGATGGCCATCCCGCATAACATTGGCGAGTCCGAAGTCAGCTATTTTGACATTGCCTTTAGAGTCAATAAGTAGGTTCTCTGGCTTAAGATCGCGGTGAACCACCATGTGAAGGTGGCAACTCTCAACACCAGAAATAATCTACATGGTGTAAGATACCATCTCAGTATCATTCTTTTAGTCAACCTAATTGTGTATGGATTCAAAGGATCTAGTCTAGTCACTCTTGTAGGAGATCGAATAAGAAGGGCACAAGTTATTGTTACTTATTGGAGTGCTTGATAATCAATGACATTGATTCTGTTCGCCCATGATACTCCAATGTAGAAATAATTCAGAAATGAAATTTCATGGGCCACAAAACCAAGGTAGATAAGATTCGAACTTCAAAGATGACAACTATAACATAAAACCAGACAATATTGTTCCTATATTTCATCATGTTTCCCAACTCCTGCATCATATCGATATAAGAACTTGAAAAATATATATACCATAAACTAGTAGATTATATGCCACGATTCTTACATTTTGGAACATGAGGCGTTAGTGCTTCTATATCTACTAAATTGCATATTGTAAACTGTATTTGGTTATAATTGGAAAACCCTGGACGTATTCCTTTTAAAGTATGTCTTGCTGTTATCAATGCTGGTTGACTCCACAGGAGTGTTCAGGAAAGAAACTCCTCTGTTTCAAGAAGGCCCATGGATTTTATTTGGTCGTTTCTCATAGGTACACAAAAAATTTGGCTTGTCATGAAGCCATGAAGACATTCATGTGGAGATTCTATGAACGCTATTAAGCAAACGCACCAATCAGGGATGATTACTAGAACAGTGACGTGCATTTCGTGTCATTGCTCGTCGACCTGCTTCTAGCATTTTACATTTTATGATATTAAATAACTCAGAGATTCTTGCGAGTCTATATCAAAAGCTAAAAGATTCATAAACAAACAGGTTCAAGTCACAAATCTTGGACAACTTTGATACTTCATAGGGATACAAGTATCACAATCACAAGAGAGGATATTGCTGTGCCAAAGGATAATGTTCTTGCTCTTCTTTCAGACAGCAAATGAGTGGATTCACCAACGATAGATTTTGGAAAGCTCCTACTGAAAGTTGGGAAGTCAATTCATGATCCAAAGAAATACAAACTAGTGGAAAACTTAGTTATCTGACTATTATATGATCAGATATTTCTTATTTTGCAAGTTTAGTCGGTCGGTTCATGTCTACTCCACATACTGGTTGTTGGGATATTATTAAATCTTGAGCTACCTCAAATGATCTTCAAGAAGAGGCACCTCTAATCACAGTGGGTACTGGTTATCCCCTTCAAGTAGTTTTTTATGCTTGTATTTTATCCACACCCAATGGTCTATCACGTATTCTATATCCTCTGAACAATAGTCACAATTTCAACTTACTATGCTACTGTTCTCACATATCTCCTTGTTTTTTTGTGTTGCAAGCCAGGGGTACTCATGGAAACAGCCTCTCTACCAGAACCTGCCACTGGGTGGGGTATATTGGGTTCTTTTGGTTTGGTTTGGTTTGATTTATAGGACTCCCAACATATTTGAGTAGTCAATTAACCTAATTGTGAATGTGCAAGCTATCCATTTGATAAGAAACCAAATATGGTACTCAGCAAGTCAGCACAACTGTGGTAGGTTAAGGTGGTGGTAGTAGTCCGTGATTGGATGACAGCGGTTGCTGTTGGTAGTCGTAGTGGTGGATGGCGGCAAATGATGCCGAGCGATAGCCTAAGGAAGGTTGTGATGGCGGCAATGGTGGAAAGTGGCGGTAGATGATAACAAGGGGCAGCTGCCATTGCATACCATGGTAGTGGTGGTAAGGGGAGTGGAGACAATCATCATAGATGTTATTGTGATATAAAAAGGGGTGGATATTTTGTGTGTAAGAATAATCATCATAGATACCTGTTGAAAGAAATGGCGAGCCTCATCCTCCTCAAGTCTACTATTCTCGGTAATATAATCAAATAGTTCACCTGAGTTCATATACTCCATGATGACATATATGGCTGACCGAGTCTCTATGACCTCATAAAGACGAACAATATGTGGATGGGAAAGAAGCCTCATTATATTAATCTCTCGTCTCACTGAAAATACAATCACAAATAAAGAAAGGGATATCATCAACTTCATCACATTAGATGAAAGAAAGTTCCAGTCACAACAAGCAAAGGATATCATTAACTTCATCACATTAGAGGAAAGAATTTAAAACCCCATGCTGATCATGACAGCTTCAAGAAAGTAAACCCATTAAGGACAATCGTAATTTGTGGAACTCAAATTATGGTCATGCTAACCACAATGAGAAACTTATTCTTCTGTTTACTGAAGGTAACCAAGGTCAAACTCTTCCCTAGAAATCTCATTATAAATAAGTTCAGCATCAACCAGAAGAAGCAATATCATTTAAAGATACATCTTGATTATATCAGCAACTGAAACCTATGTCCATACTATGAGAAGCTTTACACCATAAATAATTTGGTGGCAAATCTCTCTTGTGGTGAAGAAACTATAAAATGTGGAAACTTCTATCCATCATACTTTAAATTGACGTTCCGAATCCCCTGTTATAACTTGTGCAGTAGCTCTCTATGAAGAAGAAAAATAGAAATACATGAAGGAATGAAATGATTAATGCCCACAGAAGTGTTCTTCTACATGATGAACATTAACAGAGAGTTGAAAAAAAGTTATAACATCCTGATTATACAGAGGCTGAATATTGGTTCTCGGTTAAAAGTTTTTTTGTGAGCAAATGCATATAGACTTGTAAACCACATTCTTTACTACACAGCATCAGAAAAGAACCTTGAAACTAGAGAGATACCCCTCTATTAAGAAGAACATTGACAAGAATTTAATGTGTTACATACAACTGCAAATTACTATGTGCATATATTGTACATGATTTTCTTTTCACTTTCACTTCCACAAATCTCTCAAACAATATTATAAAATAATAAACCTCATTTGGGCCGAAGCAGATAACTTTTTAGTGAAATAATAAGATCATCACCAAACATGTCGTTAGGTTAATGCTTTTTCCACCTGGAGATGGCCCATGATAACATGCCCACAGCCGTGATTTGCAGGAGCCTGGAGAGGAGAAGGGTACCATGGAGGTATGTCAAAGCAATACAGAATAACGTGCCCACAGCCGTGATTTGCAGGAGCCTGCGTTGGCACCCAATGGGTGGAACGGATTACTTCCCCATGTAGATAGGGAGCATCGACACTAAGGGGCTGTTTACCAATCACTTACCCGGTAAGGCGCTTATCGGTAAAATTCAACACTATCATTTTCTTACCCATTAAGATTTTAGTCCACCAAAACGGCATTGGATACAACAATTTACCCGGTAAGTGCTAACTGTGGTAAGAGTAGTCGTGCTCACTTACCGGACAAGACTCTCGGTCCTTGCCTCGCTCTTACCGGATAAGATTCTTGGTCCTTGTCATATTTATCTGGTAAGGTAATGTGACTTGGAAAGCACTTACCCAGGTAAGCGTTTGGTAAATGATCCCTAAGGCCGTTTCTATTTGTCGTGAATTTGGATGAGATTTCGCAAGTGATCCAAGGGGGTGTCCCTGGTGAATATTATTTGTTGATGATAGTGTATTAATAGCGGAAACGAAGAAAGAGTTGAATGTTGGGTCAGCATAGTGGAGTGAGGCATAAGAAAGTCTAGGCTTGCACATTAAGCGGTCAAGACCCAATACCTTTGGGGTAAGTTTAGTAGGGAGTGCAATGAGGAGGGAATAGATGTCAGCATAAGGTAGCAGAAGGGACCCCAAAAGAATTGTTGCAAGTATCTAGGCACTATGGTTTATAATGAGGTGAGGTTACTCACCGCTAAAAGCAAGATGGTTAAAATGGAGGGTGCCACGAGAGTGTCGTGTGACAAGAAGGTCCCTCTAAGGCTAAAGGGTAAATTCTATAGGGTAGCAATAAGACCAGCTATAGCAGAGTGTTGGGCGATAAAAAAAGCACAGGACCAGCCATGTAGTTCGGAGCAGAGTGTTGGACAATAGAAAAAGCAAACAAAAGGAACATGGAGTTGGCTAAAATGAGGATAATTTGTTGGACTTATGGAAGGACCATGCTAGACAGGATAGCAAATGAGATTTTCAAGCAGAGTTGGGAGTAACGCCTATTAGGGATAAGATGAGAGAAAATATTGTGGTGGTCCAAGAACGTCTGTAGGAGACAGATATCGGCACTGGTGAGTAGGGGTGTTAACGCACCGAGTCAAGTCGAGTACAACTTGTTCTAGCTTGGAGTGGAGTCAAGGCTCGAGCTCGAATATATAGTTCGAGCTCAAGCTTGATGCTCATTTAACAAATATAAGTTATGCATCATACCTAAAATTCAACCTTTACATGCTCGTTTATTGGCACAAAGTTCGATTATTTTTATTTTTTGATTGTACGATGTATAAACATATAGACATGTTTAGCTCGAAAAAGTGTATGCTCGAATGGCTCGAGTCGGGTTGTTAGGTTAAATGAGCTTTATTTTGTGCAGTCGAATTGAACATTGGTTTGAGCTTAACTCATTAAGTTCAACGAGATTTATTGTGTTCTAGAATGACTCGAGCTCGAGTAACTTGTTAAAAGCTCGAATCATTAACACTCTTACCTGTGAGGAGGATGGAGAGCTTTACGGTCGATGTTGTAAGGAAGATAGGCAGTCTAAGGAGTCATGAGAGGTGATGACCTCAGATAGGTATTTGTGGACATGGCCCTTTTAGGCATTTCGAATGACATAACCTCCTTGACTAGAGTAATAGATTGTGCTTAAGGACTTGTGGTTTTTGGGAAGAGGGAAGGGGTGGAAAGGTAGCAAAGCACTAGGATGGTCAACTTTCTTTAGTTAGATTAGTGGTTTTATACCTTAATATGCATTTGATGTCCTTGTATGCTTTATTATTTGTTCTTGTTAGTTGTTACTTTTTTTCAACTCAACTAAACTCCTTTTCTTTCTTTTATTTCATTTCTCTTTCCTTTCTATCAAACTTCCAAACCATTTGTTTTCACAAAGCCTTTATACAAGTCGAGGGTCTTCATGGAAACAATCTCTCTATAGGGGTTTATTTTGCTCACCAAATAACCAACAATGATTCTGTAGGTCCCAAGAAACTAGAGGAACCAAATGTAAGCACAACCACTAGACAATGCGGAACTAATGGGTCTAGCAACAAATATATGACGATTCTTTATAGTTATGGCACCTAAAACGAGACACCAAGATTTAAACGAGGTTCCAATATCGTTGTGATAGTATACATAATTCATCCATAGGGAGAGAGAGAGAGAGAGAGAGAGAGAGTTCATTTACTATTAGAGTATTAGTATGTAAGGATAGTTTGGTCCTTTCTATTTGTATTGGTTAGTATAAATAGGTGTTCCATGTAATCCTTTTTCATTCAAGTAATACAATATCAGTTTCATTTCTGTAAAATTTATATATACGTATTTCTCCCTGAGTTACAAAGCAACTTACAAAAAAATTTGATCCACAATACGAGCCAAGAGGCTTGAGCCTAGTTTTCCTGAACAATTGGGAAGAAAGGAAGGGCTTCCAAATATGCTCCTAATGAACTTCGATCCAGAAATCCCGTTTAAGAGGAAAATCCTTGTACACGACCTTGGATGCGACGTTAGGTCGCACAACCAAGATCGCTCTATTCCCAAATCGTGCGTATGTGAACTGCTTTCAAGGATGTGCAGAACGTGTGCATCAGATGGACACATCACAAGAAATGCACCGTAAGTTGATGGCTTCCACAGCGACCTAGACAAGTCGCGTGGCAAGGTCACACATGCCAAAGTCTCACATCCCCAAAATTGTACCGTAACTACTCAAGCATGTTGAGTCTCTACGTGGCCTTGTCCTTGTGCCCTTGGATCACATACAAGGTCGCACAGCTTGGATTTGAGCAGCATCCAACAAATTCAATGATCTCCACTCCTCGGGGTGGACGTAAGCCTGCATACATCCTACCTTCCCCGAACCTACTTCATTTGGGATTTACTGGTTTGTTTAGATTGGTATGGTTTAAACTAGGAATATTTTAGGGGGTAAGCAAGTAAAAGAAAAGTAAGCAAAATAGGTTACATGTTTGGCAAAAAGTGTATATTGTACAAGTCGAAAAAGCTCGAGTTAGTTATCCCCCTCTTGTTTTTTTAGGTATCCAAATTTTTTGCTTCTGTTTTAGGGAAATAAGGGGACAGTAAGAGGCTAATAAGGCATGGTTTTACCTCTTGTCCTCTTCAATAAGAGGACGGTAAGAAGTTTAAAGCTCTTATCACAAAACAAAAAAAAACAAACAGTCCTATAATTCTAACGTCTTATCTGATGACACGTAAGTGGTGAAATGAGCGGTTTTCTTCAAAAAGAAAAAACAACACCTAAGTCTGTTCACTTTGGAAATAGGATAAGAGATCATTGTGGTACTAAATTTAGAAATCATCATGTCTGAATTCAGTAGAACTTGTATGCATAAGTAATAACTGTAAATCCAGTAACAAGTGAAACAAACAATTACTCTCTCCATCCCCAAAAAAAATTTGTCCACTTCTTTATTCTACCGAGATGAAGAAATCAACTAGTCCCTTGGATTAAACTGTGATTTAGTTCATCAAAAGTTTCCAAAAGCGACACTTATTTTTGGGAATATAAGCAAGTAGAATACCTTTCTCTGCAGCATAATCATGGAATGATTGACGAGCAAGGATTTTGATAGCAACTTTGACCCCCGTCAAGATATGTTGGGCTGCTTTCACTTTACCAAACGCTCCAATACCCAGGGTTTTCCCCAATCTATAGTTTGATAGAGGTGTTAAGCTTCCCTTACCGCTGCTTTCATCCATTTCAGGACTGCTTCAATTTCAGTAATGTCAAAGTTAACATTTACTAGATAATTGCTATGAAACAGTGAATTCCCAATTTGAAGTTATATACTCCGATCAAATCAAAACTATTATTCGACCAAATTTATCTCCACAAACAACTCAAAGAAACATCAAGGTCGAAAGCAAAAAAAAAATTGAAAGGCAATTATAGAAATAACATCATCTTCTTAATGAAAAGAAATTAAACATACCAAACAGATGATGAGTTCTCTGCAATAACCTAATAAGCTTCCAGATCAAGAGCAACAAAAAGATACGTAGACCAAAGCTTTGACGGAGACCTAAAGAAAAACTGCAGGAGAAGCCATGGGAACTTCCGTTGATGGAATGAAAGCAAAAATCAATATTGATAACTTATTACAAAGAGTTTTCGTTGTTTGCATTAAAAAATAATTACGTCGGTTTTGGCATGGAATTTTTGATAAATTACTTTTTTTTAAATTTATTGTCGTTTACCAAATGTTTATCTGGTAAATACTTACCAATAAAATTTAACATTATTATTTACTTACCGAGTAAGATTGTAGTTTACTAAAACAACATTAAATGCAACAATTTACCCGGTAAGTGCTTACTGTGGTAAGAGTCGTCGCCTTCACTTACCGGGTAAGACTATTGATCCTTGTCTCACTCTTACCGGGTAAGATTATTGGTCCTTACCATATTCATCCGGTGAGGTAACATGACTTGGTAAGCGTTTACCCAAATAAGCGTTTGGTAAATGGCTCCTTATTTCAGTGTAGTGTTGGTAATAAAGAGTTTTTAGTGTTAGGATAAAAAAAATTACTTATTAACTTATTACGTTTTGATACCGTTCTAATTTAATCCAAACATTTTTTATAAAACTCTGTTTTAACACCACAAAAATTAATATACCCATTTGACAAGATAATAATATGCTAATGATATTCATGTGACGGTTATGGAAACCAGCAAATAATAATATCCTATTACCTTTTATTTTTATAAAAAAATTGTAACGCTAATACGTAGAGTTGGATTTGCAAGGATTGGTTGTCACTAGGGCCGTAAACGAACCGAACTAACACAAACGGAGGCTTGTTCATGTTCGTTCGTTTAACTTAACCGACCAAACGAACGAACACGAACGGTAAATGAACGAAARTATTTGTGTTCGTGTTCATTCGTTTAGAAATCAAGTGTGTTTATATTCGTTCGTTTAGAAATCAGGTGTGTTCATGTTCATTTATGTTTGTTAAACGAACGAACATAAACGAATGGGCTAAACGAGCATAAGTAAATATTATTTGAATTGAAAGTAAATAAACAAAAGATTATATATTAAATTTAGTATATAAACGAACGTAAACGAACGGTAAATGAACGAACGTTAACGAACATAAATGAACGAACGGGACTCTTGTTCATGTTCATTCGTTTAACTAAACGAACAAAAAAAATTGTTCATGTTCGTTCATTTATTAAATAAATATTCATAAACGAGCGTCCCGCCAAACGGTTCCTGAACGTTCGGTTCGTTTACAGCCCTATTTGTCACAGCTATTTGACAATGACTTCTACACTTTCAGAATGAAACGAACTCATACACTATATCACTCTAGAATTGATATTCATGTATGTATGATAGGTGATTTTTCAGTTCTAAACCGGCTATAATATCAACAGGTTTTGACGACCTCAGTTTTCCCGTAGATAAACATTAAACAAAATAAGTTCTTCGACTTCCTCACCACTTTGAGGTGAATGTAGAACTCACATACGAATCGTGTGCATTCAACAGTGGCTTATGTGACCTTCGATGTGACCAGCATCGTGTGTAAAAGACAGTGACTTATGCGACCTTGGTCACGACAAACTGTCATGGCCCAAGTCACATAGGTTGCTATTGGCTACAAAAATTCATTTTTTTTTCTCCTCACATCGATAAACGAGATGTGGGGATTAGGTGGTGCATGGTGGGCATAAATCAACATAAACTAAAGGATTTTGGTGATAAAAGTGTGTGCAGTTATCAAATACCCCCACACGTATCTTTTAGACCGTCCTCGGACAAACACTGAAATGAAGCACGATGCAAACATACCAGTTGAATGAAAAGTTCACGAAAATACACAGCAATTCATGAATTTTTGCTTTAGCAGTTATATCAATAACTAATCACACAAGACAACACAAACACGACAAGAAGCTAATTTGACAAACACCATAGAATCATCATGTACACCAAACAAGCATCATAAAGCGTATTATTGTGCATCGAAAACCAAACATGGAACAAAACTCTTTCAACCGTACGTATGCAATAAACAAATCAAAATTCAACATTATTTAAGTTGTTAAATTAATCAAAGTCAAAATCGAGAACAAACCCTTGAATCAAAATCCATGAGCAGCAAATACATTCTTTAATTAACCACAAGGGCGGTGTTTGATTGGTTTGAGTTTGGCTCCAAAGGTCAAAAGTACCAGGAGGTCCTAGGTTCAAATCCAAGGAGGAATAAAAATCCCCTTGTGGCCACGGAGGTTCAAATGCGGTGACTTCGGGCTATCTGCAAAGCAGGTGGTCGCCCTGAGATTAGTCGGCTCGGATAGCGGGTTGGATATTCAGGTTAATAAAAAAAATACATTCTTTAATTTAAAATAGGGATGGAAGAAGCAATGAGTTTAGATTTCGATTGGCAGAGAAGATAGACATCATCGTCGATCTGCCATGGACTTCAGCGTTACTTGTTTGTGAGAGAAAGAAAACGCAAGTATTTGGGAGAGGGAATAAATAACATCGAAATTTGAAAATCCAACCAAGTATATTAGGAGCGGGAATAAATAAATTGCAATTTCCGTTCCTGTGGTTTGTTGGTTTTCTTGGATTGGTTCCCTACAAAATATATATGACAAGAGAACTCTTGTGGTATACAAAAATATTTATGACCTCTGTATATTGGCATGATGGAAAGAAAAGGAAGGTTAACTTTCGATTCTCGTCACCATGGCAAGAGACCTACTAACAGTCCAAGCTACACAATAGCTTTGGAATTTGTTTTTTTAGGGGCACGATGCTTTCGGAACGACAGATGTGGCTTACATCGGAATCGCTCGAGATTTGTGTTTGCCTCAAAGATGAGTTGATAGTCACAATCGAATTCAAGACGCTTCTTCACTAGAAAAAGAACTTCATCTGTCAATTAACAAGTAGCCGACGAATAAGGAAGCACATACAACGAGATCCCATAGTTTCACCCGTTACAATCGGGCCTTACATTTCTACTTGATGACTAGAGATGCACAAGATTTTGAACTTGTAAAGGTCGAGGACCAGTAGTTAGAAAAGGCCTAGCCTCTAAAAAAGGACCCATTTTGGACCTAAATTTTAAACCTAGGAGTGGTCCTTAACGGGGTTAAAAAAAATCTGGATAAAGCTCAGAAACCAGTAATTCGTTAACCAAAAACCGTTTGGTTAAAGACCAGTCAAAACCCTGTTAAATCCCAAAAAAGCAGTCAAGACCCGTTGCTTTTACCTCAATTATATATTATGACTAAAAAATTAAAACAATATCTGAACAATAATTTATGGTCATTAATAGTGAAAATAATACAATAAAATCTAAAATATAGAAAAGATAAGCCCCTCGTTTTTCCGTGTGCCTCAACTTTAAATCCCACAAGAGTTTATTAAGAGAAATATCGGACATATTTAGATTTAAAAATTATTCAAATTATGGGGAGAAACGTAAGAAAATATCTAAATCCTTGATCACTTTTAATCTCATACCCACCCATAAATTGCGCTTTAGACAGGAATTAACCGGTGCATCTTGATGCATCTCATTAGTGTTGACATTTAATTGGATTGATACAGGGATGAAGATTTCTTCTTGTTCTTCTCCCGGTAACCCAATCATATATCTCTATTCTGTTGATAAGCCACTTAAAAAGGGCATTGGCTTTGCATTTCTACCTATACAATAATACATTGTGCATAATAAATTTATATAAAACCCTAAATGCAATAAAAAGTCAAATGTTGAAGACCAATCATTTTCATTTTGCAATCCTGGTTTTGCATTAAATTTCATCAAACAACACAATGAGCTGAATCATATCCTAAACAGCCAAGTTCAAAACAAACTTCAGCATTAGGTGATGACCATCACCAACCACCACTTGCCCCTGCTTTCTTGCTACCGCCCCACCCGGAAGAACTATCTGCATCCTTGTTAGCATCACCTGCACCTGAACTTGAACCACCGCTGCTCTTCTGGCCCCAACTGCCACCTCCACCGCCGCTTACACCACCACCTTCACTATTCTTTTGGCCCCAACTGCCACCTCCACCACCACTTGCACCACCACCATCGCTGTTCTTCTGTCCCCAATTGCCACCACCACCACCGCTATTCTTCTGGCCCCAACTGCCACCTCCACCACTACTTGCACCACCACCATCGCTATTCTTCTGGCCCCAACTGCCACCTCCACCACTACTTGCACCACCACCATCGCTATTCTTCTGGCCCCAACTGCCACCTCCACCACCACTACTTGCACCACCACCATCGCTATTCTTCTGNCTATTCTTCTGGCCCCAACTGCCACCTCCACCACCACTACTTGCACCACCACCATCGCTATTCTTCTGGCCCCAACTGCCACCTCCACCACCACTTGCACCGCCACCATTGCTATTCTTCTGGCCCCAACTGCCACCTCCACTTGCACCGCCACCATCGCTATTCTTCTGGCCCCAACTGCCACCTCCACCACCACTTGCACCACCACCATCGCTATTCTTCTGTCCCCAACTGCCACCTCCACCACCACTTGCACCACCACCATCGCTATTCTTCTGTCCCCAACTGCCACCACCACCACCGTTGTTCTTCTGGCCCCAACTGCCACCACCACTTTCACCACCACCATCGCTATTCTTCTGTCCCCAACTGCCACCACCACCACCGCTATTCTTCTGTCCCCAACTGCCACCACCACCACCGCTATTCTTCTGGCCCCAACTGCCACCACCACTACTTGCACCACCACCATCGCTGTTCTTCTGGCCCCAACTGCCACCACCACTACTTGCACCACCACC